GAATTCGGCTCAAAAATCACGCTCAGGAGTCAAATTTCCGACATTTCAGATATTTTGAAAACTGCAGGGGGGTTTGGGCAAAATATGACCTATCGCCGTTTTCAGTAATTGGCATATTTTCGGTATAAAAAGTCGTAAGTTGAAAATGGAAAATAGGTGCAGAGAGTCAGAATTCGGCTCAAAAATCACGCTCAGGAGTAAAATTTCCGACATTTACGATATTTTTAAAACTGCGGGAGGGTTTGGGCAAAATATGACCCATCGCCGTTTTCAGTAATTGGCATATTTTGGGTATAAAAAGTCGTAATTTGAAAATTAAAATAGGTGCAGAGAGTCTGAATTCGGCTCAAAAATCACGTTCAGGAGTCAAATTTCCGACATTTACGATATTTTTAAAACTGCGGGAGGGTTTGGGCAAAATATGACCCATCGCCGTTTTTAGTAATTTTGCATATTTTCGGTATAAAAATTCGTAATTTGAAAATTATAATAGGTGCAGAGAGTCTGAATTCGGCTCAAAAATCACACTCAGGAGTCAAATATCAGACTTTTCAGATATTTTGAAAACTGCAGGGGGGTTTGGGCAAAATATGATCCATCGCTGTTTTCAGTAATTGACATATTTTCGGTGTAAAAAGTAGTAATTTGAAAATGAAAATAGGTGCAGAGAGTCAGAATTCGGCTCAAAAATCACGCTCAGGAGTCAAATTTCCGACATTTCAGATATTTTGAAAACTGCAGGGGGGGTTTGGGCAAAATATGACCCATCGCCGTTTTCAGTAATTGCCATATTTTCGGTATAAAAAGTCGTAATTTGAAAATGAAAATAGGTGCAGAGAGTCAGAATTCGGCTCAAAAATCACGCTCAGGAGTAAAATTTCCGACATTTCAGATATTTTGAAAATTGCAGGGGGGTTTGGGCAAAATATGACCCTTCGCCATTTTCAGTAATTGGCATATTTTCGGTATAAAAAGTCGTAATTTGAAAATGAAAATAGGTACAGAGAGTCAGAATTCGGCTCAAAAATCACACTCAGGAGTCAAATATCAGACTTTTCAGATATTTTGAAAACTGCAGGGGGGTTTGGGCAAAATATGACCCTTCGCCTTTTTCAGTAATTGGCATATTTTCGGTATAAAAATTCGTAATATGAAAATGAAAATAGGTGCAAAGAGTCAGAATTCGGCTCAAAAATCACACTCAGCAGTCAAATTTCCGACATTTCAGATATTTTGAAAACTACAGGGGGTTTGGGCAAAATATGACCCATCGCCGTTTTCAGTAATTGGCATATTTTCGGTGTAAAAAGTAGTAATTTGAAAATGAAAATAGGTGCAGAGAGTCAGAACAGGGTTGCCAGATTGGGCTACAAGTAGCGAATTGGGCTACTTTTAAGAGCCCCACGCTCCCAAATTTTTAATTTCGCTACTTGAGACTTTTTTGGCTAGTTTAAACGCAAGTTGGGCTACTTTGGGCTATTTATATTAAAAAACTCAATGATGATTATTTATGCTTTAATAATATAATCTGTACAAATCACAGCCGAGTCCAACAGCCTGATTGACTAGACCACTTACCGCAGGAGAGCCCTGGTCAGAGACCGGCCCCGGGGGACGTTGATCCTAGGAACCTTTGAAAGAAAAAGTAACCGCAAGGCAAGGTAAACCTCCCCAGGGGACATAGATTTTCCAACTTTAATTGTTAATAATACTTCATCCCAAAAGCTACACCTCGTTCCACAGATCTTCATTAAGGGGAGAAAGTTATCTAGAAAGTTACAGATTGATAAATGATGGGAAAGATCCCTTACAGTTAATACCTTTGTCAGGAAGACGATGGTTGGCAAGGAGCAGTCGTGTAAAGCGGCCGTTTGAACAGTGGGGTTCTCTAACAACTCATTACCAAATAGCTTTTTCCTCTTGTGATAAATATGTTGCAAGGCAACTATTTTCAATGTAAGCTGATCCCTCCAATAAGCTATATTTCATATGTCTCAAACCAATCCTAAATGATTTTGAAAGGATGAATTTACTTTATCAAAAGATGAAGCAGATCAGTATAGCCTTCACACTGTCTTAGAAAACTTCACTCTTGGAATACTCAGAAGAATCTTTCGTCCTCATCATGCAAAGCTTCATATTAATTTGAACTACAATTCTATGTATCTGCCCCTGGAGAAAGTGGACTTTGGTAACGAATTTTCAACACTTCTGGCCACTATCAGACAAAAGAATTTTACAACCCAGGAAATGTTTCAAAATGTTCAAGAAAGATGCGATAATTTTTTAATGAAAGCTTGCAAATAGCTTCTTTCTCGTATTCTAAGTAATGTTGAAACTATAAAAAAATGTGAAAAATCTGTTACCTATCATATGCCTTAGCTTACATGGCCACCATTTTCGGAACTTCCGTTAGTATTAGCTGACCAATCTAAGCTTAGTGAAATTGAAAGTTAGTGGCGCCTACTGTTAACCATTGACTAGTCCAACATTTGTAAGGGACAAATTCCGACATCTGAATCGTCATTTTAGACCAAGACAATAACTGTCAAGAACACTGCTGGCGATCCCATACTGATTGACCTCGCTGAGTTTGTGTTGAAAATATTCAGCTTGCCAATCAGTAATGCCCTGGTTGAACGGATATTTTCGAGAGTAACGTCTGTGAAAACTAAACTGAGAAATCTTGAATGGGAATGGGACTTGAGCTTTTGACATCAGTCTTGAGAATCAAAACATATCTTGAAGAACGGCCCGTCTAATTACCACAAGCTACACAAGCTTCAGAAAGCTTCCTGGCAATACGTTAGTAATGAATAAATATGATATATTTACTCATTATAATGTTTGTGCTGAATGTACAACACGAAAAAACATAATTTTAATTTGAAAAAGTATCTTTTTATAAAGAAATTAGACGAAAACAAAAAGCTGGTGACGCCAAATCAAGTCGACGATCCAAGCTTCGGTTAGGTTAGGTTAGGTTTGGTTTAGTTAAGTTAGGTTAGGTTAGGTTAGGATAGGTTAGGTTAGGTTAGGTTAGGTTAGGTTAGGTCAGCCTAACTTAACATATCATATTTATTCATTACTAACGTATTGCCAGGAAGCTTTCTGATGCTTGTGTAGCTTGTGGTAATTAGACGGACCCGAACGAGGTTGTGGATGCAGATCAAGATCTGCATCCAGTAGGTAGGTAATCTTCAACTGTAAAGACGTGGAAGGACTTCACACCCATTAAGCTTCAAACAGTAAATATTGGTAAGTTATCCTATTATCATATTGGTTAAATATATATATATATGCAGAGATAATGTTAATAAAATAATTAAAATCGTTTAATGTACTCTATATATCATAATAGATTACTTTGAAACCCGTATCAGTCACTAAACAAAAAATTGGGCTACTCTTATTACAAATTCGCTACTTTTAGACCGTCAGCTCGCTACTTTTAGCAATTTGAATCTGGCAACCCTGTGCTGGAGGAGCAGGGATGCCAGATTGGGCTACAAGTAGCGAATTGGGCTACTTTTCAGAGCTCCGCGCTCCCAAATTTTTATTTTCGCTACTTGCTACTTTTTGGGCTACTTTAAAAACAGGTTGGGCTATTTTGGACTATTAATGTTAAGAAACTCAATGCTGATTTTTATGCTTTTTATAATGTCATGTGTACAAATCACAGCCGCGTCCAACAGCTTGATTGAATAGACCACTTACCGCAGCAGGCCAGGTCAGAGACCGACCCCTGGGGACGTTGATCCTAGGAACTTCCCAAAGAAAAAGTAACCGCAAGGCAAGATAATCCTCCCCAGGGGCTATAGATTTCCCAACCTTAATTGCCATTAATACTTCATCCCGGGTTCTGTCTATGTTAAGTGACCTCCCACTGTTGCCTACTGTAAATATTAGGTTTCTCTTTAGGTGTTTCTAAGAATCAAATGACTGTCGTTAGAGCGGATTAGCATACAGTAAACTTGGCAGCTTCATCTGTGCTTTCATTGTTAGTGTGGCTCTGATCTCCAGAAGGATAGTTCGACACAAGTTACCGCATATAGAAAAGAAGTTACCGCTGTTACTTTTAGAATTTGCTTAAGTGTTAAGATAAAGAAGTGTAAAATGGGGAAGTGGTCTAAATACCAGAAAGCGTTTCAGATGTCCTGGCTTAATGATCCCGTGTTTGGAAAGTGGTTGGCTGAAGTGAAAGAAAATGGAAATAAGGCATATTGTAAAGTTTGTAGAACTGAGATAAGAGCTCATAGAAGTTGTTTAAAGAAACACAGTGAAACATTAAAACACAGACAAAATATATCGGAGGTAAGTCATCAGCAGATGAGCATCAAGTCTGTTCTATCAAAGAAGGAAGATAAACTTACTAAATTTGAATGTCGTCTGTCTGTATGTACTGTCGCTATCTAGAAATCTAACATTATGTTTGTAACTCATCTTGTATGTATGTACTTTTACCTGAATAAGCATTTGATTTGATTTGATTTGACTAAACAAAAAATTGGGCTACTCTACCTGCAAATTCGCTACTTTTTGACCGTCAGCTTGCTACTTTTAGCAATTTGGATCTTTTTTTTTTTTTTTTTTTTGAGATATATACAAGAGTTGTTACATTCTTGTACAGCCACTAGTACGCGTAGCGTTTCGGGCAAGTCCTTAATCCTATGGTCCCTGGAATACGATCCCCTGCCGCGAAGAATCGTTTTTTCATCCAAGTACACATTTTACTGTTGCGTTAAACAGAGGCTACAGTTAAGGATTTGCGCCCAGTAAATCCTCCCCGGCCAGGATACGAACCCATGACATAGCGCTCGCGGAACGCCAGGCGAGTGTCTTACCACTACACCACGGAGACTGTACATCATCAGCATATCTCAACGATTCGATTTGGCAACCCTGTGGAGGAGGAGCGGCAGTGCCTTGAGTGACGCCGGCGTGGGTGGTTGTGGTCACTTGGTGCTCCTGGATCTTAACATCTAAGTGCCTCATTCTCTTAATTTATACTAGAGCCACCATTCTTAATGTATTTATATTCTATTGCTACTCCACGCAGGAGTTGAGATATGCTGATGATGTATAAACCTGTAGCTGGAGAGGAAGGATTATTGTTGCTGCCTGAAAGGGGAATGATTCAAGTCGTGTCTCCTGAGGCCAGTAGGCCTAAAGTGTAACTGGTGAAGAGAAGGGAGTTATCAGGGGAAAGCACCAAGCCGTTACGACTATATAGCAATTGGAAGGGGTCAGGATAAGGATTTGGGATGGGACGGGGGGAAGGAATGGTGCCCAACCACTTGGACGGTCGGGGATTGAACGCCGACCTGCATGAAGGGAGACCGTCGCTCTACCGTCCAGCCCAAGTGGTTGGACATGTAACTGGTGAATAAATATTTACATTATGACCTAAACATGGCCACTATAACAAGAGGCCCGTAACAATATCGTCGTGTGTTCAGATGACCTCCGAGATATTAAACACTTGACCTCTGGCATGAAAATGATTGTCAACTGCACCCCAAGAGGCCAAATATGTCGACTGTTTGTTCAATAAATTAATAATTGTTTGAATTAGTGGTAAAATTGATATGTGCAATGAAATTAGGGTCAGATAATAATAGTAGTGTGTGTATGCGTTAAAAAGAGTAGTTTCACTTTTAACTTTCTCCATCATGTATATAATATTGTTTGTAATTTAACTTTTTACTTCATATATAATGGTTTGTATAATAATATAAGTCCTCTGTCTTGCGGAGGCGATTCCATGCTTGGAGATGCCGCAGGCATATCTGTAGGTCAGTCACGGCGACTCAGACTTCCTCCTCAGAAAGTTATGAGATGTAACTGACATATTCATCCCAACACCAACATCTCTCCCGCAGTAATTATTGATGAGAACCTCAACCATTGGAAATATTCCCTGGGTCCTGTAGCATAGGTCACAACCGAGGTTAAAGGTGCAATCCTCGGGTGGGAGAATATTTGGGTAATGTTTCTTTTCACCTGTTCACCTAACAGAAAATTGGTACCCGGGAATTAGACAACTGTTGTGGGTTGCATTCTGAAAAATTTCAGCAGTTGACCACTGGGTACCTCGATAAGCATAAGCGCCGTCTTTCATTTATAAACGGGGAGGTTTGGTGGGTGCATGGAATGGATTTTGGCCTTTGTTTATGAGGATGGGCTGCCTAACCTACCAGAGAACCCAAAACAGAAAACGGGACTACGTCACTCTCACGAGCCGCTTCCATTTTCAAGTACGACAATTTTTGGCCATATGCAACGCATACGATCGAAATGTAACGTTCTTTGTAAGAGGACAGGATGGATAGAGATTCATTACCTTAAAACCAGGCTTTTCTTGTTCCTGCTTTATCGCTCAGTTTATTCATTCCCCTGTTAGCTCTCCAATCTTATCTTTGTTGTATCTGTACTAGCTCTGATAAGAGCAGATCCACCAATGTGTGTGGATACACAGCCGATGCTCTTGAGATAAGAGATACACTTGAAGCGAATTACTTAGACGTCCTCAGTACAGCTGCTATTTGTGCCGAAAGACCATGTTAACATTGCTCAGTTTTCTCAGTTTTAAACGTTGTGTGTAACTGAGGTATATTTACTGGGTGAATAATCCAAGAAGTAGATGGACATATTGCACACACACACACACACAAACTTTAACAATATTGAAATTAAAAAAAAAAAATTGATGCGAAGGAATAATGTGCCAGAAAATGGAATAAATCCTGACAAAAGTGTTCAGTGAAACAGAAGTGAGACTACACGTTGGTACAGCAGGTTGACACCTGCTCCCCACAACCCATAAACCTTGCTCTCATATAATTCTGTATTGCTTTTGTTAATAATACATAGGCAACTGAAAAAGGATCCATTTTTAAACGAGTGTTAACTATACAGAAATTGTTTCGTGAATTTATAAAACTTATGATTTACATGACATATCACGTGTAATCAATGTCACTACCCAGTATTGAAGGACGTCTCTGCCCTAGCGGCAGTACGAAGCATTGATATATAGAAGGAACATCAGTTTTGTTCCAATAAAAATTATTTAACTAAGAAATTAAATAACTAAGGCGAAATTAATAATATATTGATATAATATTAAAATACTTCAATCATGTTTAAGATACCCAAGGTAAGTCTATGTATCGTTCAGTGTCTTGTTGATAACCATTTTCTACAATTTTGTATAGATGTTTGAGTGGCTGACTAATTAAAATACCGACATAGCGGTACACATTGTTAATGTAATTCAAACACCGATAATAGTGATATTTGATTATATAAATATGTCACATTTTGAGGTACACTATTATACCTAAGGCCAAAAACACCAATGCTCAAGAAAATTGCAGTGGCTCGCGAAACTGACATAATGTCCTGTTTTATGTTCGTGATTCCTCTGGTTGGTTAGGTTAGGGCACTTTAGCACGACAGTTTCTTGATGTTGGGAACGCTGGCGAGAGTGGGCTGCTTAATAACCTTCCGGAGGATGATAGGCTCAACACTAAAAAAACAGTGGAGTGGTGCATTTCGGGAATGGTTGGCGAGAGACGAAGAGTTATGTCAAATTTAAATATCTCAAAAACTATAGTTTCTTTAGTAAATAAATAGGTGCACACCATTTAAAGATAAAACTAGGAGTGCCATCTAGGCACAGTGGGCTATTGACGTGGGGCTCCACGATTCTAGGGGCCTCACACTGCCATAGTGTTCACCAGAGACTTGGCAGAGTGGATAATTACTCGACCTCTCGCTGGAAAGGCCTGGGATTCAAACCCTTTTCTAAATTATATTTATAAATAATTTGTGCATAAGGGAACTTACACTTTAGCGAACGGGCAAGGTCTATCATCAGGTTAGGGAACCCCAATGTACATCATCTCGGTAGAGAGCCCTAATGCCCATCATCTCTGTAGAGAGCCACAGTGCATTACTTTGCCCAGGACCTAAAATGTTGTTAAGACGGCCCTGACTAGAAGTGGTGTTCAAGTTTCCTTGAAAGAACCTTTCGTATAGTGTAACAACCCCCTTCTCTATGCTGCCCCCAGCCTCCAACGGTGACTGTGGTGGTGAGGAACCTGCCAGCAGGAACCACTGAGGAGCATCTACGGTCCCTCTGCGAGAATTTTGGCGGGATGGTTGAGGTGGAGATCCCTAAACGAGCGGCTCTCTTCAAGAAGTTTATCTTCGGGTGAGGATGTGTTATAGTCTATTAATATCTAGTTGTAATAGCCACCCATAATTTGGACATAGCTCCTAATCCAGATTATTTTTAATACTTATTAGCTACATAGTCTCCCCGGCTTTGCGCCTTATTTTGATAATTACTTAATACTAATTAATTTCACTAACTATGCCCAAGGCAACTGTGGATTCAGTTGAATACAAGATTGTGTTGCTTAAAGCGTACTGTAGTTCAGTGGTTCAAGGCATGTGTGTTTGGGAGTACCTATGATGCAGGTTCAAATCCTCCTCATGGCTCCACCTTATTTTCTCATTGATACATCACGTTAATGTAATTTCTTTGTGCATATATCCAAGGATTTTACAGAGTCGATTAAAACAAGATTCAGACTTATAGCACATTAAATAACATTAATGCAGAATAATACGATGAAAGATTCTGGGAAGTAACAAATATCCAGAATAAGCAGTTAAAGTGGCACCATTAATAAAATAATTATTCTAGAACATCCACTTAAGACTGTGACTGAACTGAATCAGCTTGGAAAATACCTCATGTAAACAAGTAATCAATTATTCACTGTAACTCACTGCATAGATGGAGACATGATTAACATATCCTCATGGAATACTTGACCTTACGATAAAGACTTACAAATTTAAGAACCACATAACACATTGTTTAAGAGTTTATTGACGTTGGAAAGGCTCGCGAGAACGGGCTGGAGAATGCCCGCACAACCAGAGATCACAGGTAGTTATATCAGTGTATCTTAAGCCTTGCATTAAATGAGTAAATCAGCTTAGTCCCCTTCAAAACCTGGTTACCCCCTCAAAATATTATCACAGAAGCAATTTAAGCGAAAGGCATAAAATAATGCCAGTAAATTTCAATATTAATAAACAAAACCCAAACTACATCAAGAAAACCCCCAGAACAATGTGGAAAGGATAAGGGTTCAATTACTTAAAACAGAACCTTACTTCATTAAATCAGTCAACAAACTATGAAACACAAATGGTACAATAACATAAATCACCTTCACAGCTAAATCAATATGAGCTTGGCACACTCCTTAATATTAAGATATTAATAATTATGTAACACATACAATATTTACTAGACAACTCCAAACAAGGCCTATCAGATCAATAACCTACAATTATTATAGAGCAGCCAACCATCCATTTTCGCCGTCCACAACAACAACAACAAAAACAAAAATAGTTTATTTACTGAAATGACCCTAGTACATAAAACAATTAGTAATGAAAATATATATATAGCAAATAGGACTAACAGTGGTAACAATCAAGGTTTGCAATTCTGATGTCACACCACAAGTGTAACCAGACAAATATATACACGTGTACCGCTTGTTCACCCAGCTCTGACCATCAATACATACGTACTAACACACACCTTACATCATGCTAACTTCATATATCCCCACAAGGTCTTCAATATAACTCTCACGCAATTTTCATAGGAATAATATACTAATACTATAACCCAGTTATTGTTTAACCCTTTCTGTTGTCCTATCCAGAAGCTACATTAACTCCCTCGTGAAGATGGGAATACGTATATACATGGTAATTAGTGATGGTCTATTGTCAGGTTTGTGCGGTTCGTGAGTCTCGACGCGGCCCTCAATGCTGTGATGAAACTGGACGGTTTGGTCGTCCAGCGACGCACCATCAACGCACAACTGGCGAAGAGTCACTGGCGCAACACCAACCAGAATACAGGTTATACGCTCGAAAAATATATATTTCCAATATACAAAAAATATATTTGAAATATCAGGTATTCTTCATAAATAACATACTTGCCTCCATAACGTAGTGGGCACAATATTCCAAGACTAACGTTGAAAGAGGAAACTAGACTGTTTCCTCCAAGGAGTGCCGGACCAACCGGGCTGTGGTGGATATGTGGGCCTTTGGGCCGCTTGGAGCGGCCCGCAGGCCCACATATCCCTTAAACTCCCTCGTGGACCAAACTTTCACAAGTCAAGCCTGGCCTCGGGCCGGGCTTGGGAAGTAGAAGAACTCCCAGAACCCCATCAACCAGATTCAGCGTTGAATCAACGTTTCTCTTGGTTAGTGTGCCTACAAGGAACACAGTAAATCTACCTTTTTTGTTTATGTAAATCACAGTATGTCGTTCCGTTTCCGTACATTGTCATCATGAATGGCATCTTGAAACTATACTTTAAATGCCACTAGCATATTTGTTTAGTTCTGGATATTGATTTTAATTCCTGGTGACAGTGTTATACGAGGAGCCAGAGGAGAAGGAAGGAGAGGACGAGGCTAGCTCTAGCCTCACTGAGGACGACCTCGACACCACCATCATGCACATGTGTCACCAGCAGTGGCTCCACCACCGCCGCACGCATAGGAACCAAGGTCACAATCACAATTCGTTTTAACAGCACTATTGTTAAGTTGTTAAGCTAGCTGCATTTACATAATGCTGTGTAATTGTTTAAGGGGTCAGCGGCATTTGCCTATATTAATTAACGTTATTATAATTCATTAATTTGAGGTTATGAACTGTGCCTAATTGCCCCCGTTAGGTAATTGCATCTCTTGATATTCACCTTATTTGATACAAAAATTTAAATAATAATAATATGAATTGGCAATATTCTTATTTAACTTAATATGTAGTTTCAAAAGCAAGAATTCTGAGAGAAGACCATGATTGCAGTATATAAATCTTGTTATTTAAGTTTAGAAATATATACGGACATTTTTTAGTTAAGATATATGCGTAAATATTAAAAGTAACTTAAAAATTAGTTGATAAGCTATTCAAATCAGGTATAACTCACAGAATAATTCAGTTCGCCCTCGTCTATAATACTTCCCTGTCACTTTGTTATATAAATCAACACCCCTGTTTAAAAAACTAGTATTTACCCAGGTCTTTCCTGACTTTAAACTTCTCCAATCTATATAATGAACTATACTATACTTATATAAATGTTCATACCAAGAAAATACTGGTGGAGCGAAATATGTTATATACTATAGCCTAATGATCCCCATATTGAACTCTCAAATGTGTTCGGTCAATCCTTTTCACAAGTGATGTCCTAAATGTTAACATCGAGATATTAATTCCCTCTGATATCTCATATCTATTTCTTCATAACCCTTAGAAACCAGTCTTGTATTAGTCATCCCTTTGTTGACATTTCTTTCCTAAAAATACAGAAAAATCACCAATAAATTGTGGTATATCTGCTGAAGGGCTAGCCTAGTATACAGGTGCTGAAGTATTAATTTAATCCTAGTATACACATGCTGAAGGGATAATCGTAGTATACACATGCTGATGGGTTTATTCTAGTATATACATGCTGAAGGTTAATCCTAGTACACATGCTGAAGGACTAATCATATTACTTCTGCTAAAGAGTTAATACAAGTATACACCTGAAGGTTTAATCCAACTGTATACGTACTGAAGGGTTAATGCTAGTTCAGTTGCTGAAAGGTCAATCCTTTTCATTTTTACTGGTACTCCTGTGAAGGGTCAATTACAGTACCCTTACTGCAGTCTTGTAGTGGAACAAGAGCGAGATGGGAAGAGTAACTAGGAGATCTGGTCCACTTGTATTCTTGAACTATAGCACTATTAAATATCTGTCTCTGACGGATTTTCTTTTCATTTGATCTTAATACAGTTATTATATTATCATTTGTATATAGTATACCCATTAAACATCTACTTATTTGTTCGTGTATTGTGAAATTATGTAATCAGATCGTCTATTTTTTCAGTACAGTAAATCAAATATTATAATTGTTATTATTTGTTCATTGTTGCCAGGGTCTCCATTGTATTCAATTCGCGTTTTCGTGAGAAGGCCAATCAACCTCTGCAGAGTTATAAAAGGCTTACTGACTAACCAGCAAGAACACTTTAGTCCTGAATATTGTCCAGGACTAAAGTAAACTCTCAGTGTACATACACCGAGAAGCTGGGTGTATAGCTCTTTGCGTATATTCCTGTTCCTAAGCACTAATTAATGTTTTACCAATTTTTTACTTAATGCCCTTTTCAATTCACAGGTAAAATTGCGCTATTTATGTTTAAATAAACGCTTTAGATTTACTTTCAATTAATCAAGTCTGTATTTTTTTCAGATTTGCCATCTTTTGGTAAAATCATGGAAATATTGTCCCAGCTGTCTACAAGCGATGATGAGGACTCTGAGACGGAGGAGGTCGAGTTCTCATTCTCTGAGATGATGCTTGATGAACCCGAGATGAAACCTGTTGAGCCTGAGATGAGGCTTTCAAACCCTGGGGTGAGGTTTGTTGACCCAGAGATGAAGTTTGCTGACACTGAGATGAGGCTTATTGACCCTGAAATTAGACTTGCTGATCCTGAGATGAGGCTTCCAAACACTGGGATGAGGTATGTTAACCCTGAGATGAGGTTTGTTGATACTGAGATGACGTTTGCTGGCCCAGCAACTAATATAAGGCTTGCTGAGCCTGGGATGAGGCTTCCTAACCCTGGGACGAGGCTTGTTGACCCAGATCTGAAGCAATCATCTACATGTATAAGCAATATTGCTGGCACAAAATCTTCCCACAATACTTACTAGTTGTCTGAATGCAAGATTTCTGAGTCTGTCCCCTTAAAATTCCAAATGGAAGAAGCGGCAACGTTGTCCCTCCCTAGGACTGCCCAAGCTGCTCTCCAACTGACAAGTTTAACTGAGTTAAAAAGGGTATATTTCGCTTAATTAGAACTTATTAACAATTAATTAGAACTTCTTTCTAATTTATCTAGATGATATTTACATCTTGATCACAATTCAACGCTTCGACAATTCGTTTATAACTTAGCCAACCACTATTTAATACAGAACAAACTATATATACTTACATTTTCTCTAAATTTATATAAACCTACATATATTTACATATTGCATAGTTTATGTTAATTACTAATTTCGCCTATGCAAATATCATATGGGTAATTGAACATACTGTCTACATCCATGTTTGTTTTATAATTACACAATAGCTTTACCTCTTGTTACTATTGCATACAGCTTGCTATCACTACTTACTATACTTCACATTTGCATAGGCAATTTACTAAATTTGCTTACAGTGTATTACCTTAATAACGTCTCTAATTAATTACTAATGCAGTATGCAAAGTACGTAAGCAAATTAACAAATACGATTTCACATTCAAGTTTGACTGGCCTTGTCTTAACAGTTAACAAACTGCAGTATGTAAGGAGCTCATCAATGCTGTAACTTGCTCAGCTAAACATGTTGAGGTTCAGTTCCTGACCCCATTATGTACCTCTCTAACCTTTGCAACTACCGTTCATAGAATGGATATGGGCCCACAACTGCCCATAGGATGGGTATGGGGTCCACAACCGCCCACAGGATGGGTATGGGGTCCACAACCGCCCACAGGATGGGTATGGGATCCACAACCGCCCACAGGATGAGTATGGGGTCCACAACCGCCCACAGGTTGGGTATGGAGTCCACAACCGCCCACAGGATGGGTATGGGGTCCACAACCGCCCACAGGATGGGTATGGAGTCCACAACCGCCCACAGGTTGGGTATGGGGTCCACAACCGCCCACAGGATGGGTATGGGGTCCACAACCGCCAACAGGATGGGTATCGGGTGCATAATAAATGAATTAAACTGAAAAAAATGCTCTAGGATTATATATTTGCCCATTCCTTTTTTCATAAACATTTATCACCGTCTTTCAATGGTTTGACCAATGAACCATGGGAAAGATATTAAGGTCACCACAGTAGTTTATTTATCCAGCCAACAAATATTCTCTGACGTGTATTTTTGTGGTCATTGTTCGCCATCTGCTGGGGTGGTGGTGGTGTACCTGTAGTATGAGTTCCTCGCCACCTCTCCGCCGGTCTGAGACGGCCGGCTTGAAGTTTTCTAGTGATGTGAGTCGCCACGAAGCGAGTCTGACCTTATTTGAAGTACTGAACGTGAAAGTGGAGGATCTACTGGGGAGATAGATTAACAAATCCACAAGGCAATGATGTAGGCTCGAACCTACGCACGGGATGTTCCCAGAGGCGCCTTAACAAGTACAGTATATCATCACATGGTCAAAAGGCATGGTCAAACGAGACAGATTACACGTCGCAACAGGATGGCGGTCAGGTTTGCAGCTGGAGTCTGCTTCCACAGGTTTTTGGACACCCATAGAGGGAAGATGATTGGATTACCGAATGGCGTAGACAAAGTGGAAGTTCTTAATTGTCTCTGGCTTATTCTTATGTGGCGGTGCGGGATGCCCCCTTTGAACTGCCTACAACCTGTTCTCAGGGAGGAAATACGCTCACGGGAATGGATTGAGAACGATAACATAATTAGCCAATTAGAGCTATTATATACTCACTAGCCATGGTTAGGTTAGGTTAAAGTTACTTTAGGTTAAGTTAAGTTAGGTTAAGTTTCATTACGTTTGGTTACGTTAATATGGTGTATTATTGACAGTAATGTGAAATATGGAATACTAAAAATATTTCACTCTACCTGCAAATTTTGTACCACTCGTGCTAAATAGTTGTCAACTCCTCTGAGAATTCCTCTACCCTGTTAATTCCACTGAGAATTTTATAGGTGATGATCATGTCTCCCCTAACTCTTGTCTTCCAGTGCCTTGAGGTATATTTTCAGTACTTTGAAGTTCCTGTCTTTCTAAAGATGAGGCCTCCGTGTTTGGATACAATAATCCAAGTGGGATGTTATCTGAGAAGCCACTTTGTATGTAGACCTTGGAGGTTCTATTTGTGAGGAAGTATTTTAGCACATAAGAGTAATTTTCTCGAGAATATAAAAAGAACGTAAATGTGGCATTTTGTAAAGTTACGCATCAAACGTGTGTTTTCTATGTTTAAAATTGAAATAGAAAACTGTCAACATATCTTAGTTCAGGTACGTTTATTGAGACAAAAAAATACATCTCAAAAGGATAGATATCTTAGATATCCAAGTGCAATCCCAGCTTTCCATGCTGGCTCTTATTTATTTTTGTATGTATTTATTAACAAGAAAATACATTAGGTATTCAGTTTAATATATTTATTATGCACTCCATGACTATGATGTGGGTCATTCAAGTTCAAGTATGGTTATTGAGATAAACAAAATACATCTCAAAGGGATAATGAGTCATAATGTGGATCATAATAAGCTGAGGAACTGAAAACCCAAATTTATTTACCTAAGCAAGTTTTACAGTCATGATAATCAACTTACACAGCAAAATATATAATATTATCAACAATAGGTTCGAGAAAGCCCATAAGTACAATTTCTAAGCGAAGCAGCTTACCACAAATATAAATACAACTTGATAACAACCTCATGCATCTTAGCATAATTAAAACCAATCCTGGCAGTCCTTCATGCTGGTTGTGGGAAAGTATGACTCAAAGAAGGCAGAGTACCGTTATGATGCAGACGAGGAGTCACAATAACGTGGCTCAAATATGTTGACTAAACCACACACTAGAAAGTGAATGGACGACGACGTTTCGGTCCGTCCTGGACCATTCTCAAGTCGACAATCGTCTTGAGAATGGTCCAGGACGGACCGAAACGGGTTCTTTTCCAGGGTAGGACAAGATAAATGGAAACCGTTCGCCTCTGTAAACCAAATAGTAATTTAGAGACATATTCGTAGAAAGATTGGCGGATAATATTGTCTGTAAAATAGCGCTTTATCGCCGAACTATTGTTAGTACCTGGCTGATAAATGCGAGGTGTTACCTGAATTTACCTGAGCCACAAACACTTTAGTGGCCTTGACGATGACAGGAAGCCGGCGGCTTGTCAAAGGTCCCCCACATTTGTCCTGCTGATTATATATTTCATCGCAATAAATGTTGTGAGGGGGTAGAATATGTTGATCCATAATTTTCCGGTGAGATATGTTTATATTTGAATAGCCGCTGCGTATAGGAATTTCTTAAGTACTGTTTTCTTTGTGAATTATTTAGCTGACCTCCTTCCATGTCATTACCGGTACGATTTTGTCTAGATGAGTAACACGCAAGATTGTGGTCTTCAGCTCTTGTGTGAAGTGTCTCCCGCGTGCCAGGAATGTTGTAAACGCTGCTTTTGTCATAGTGGTTGTGTGGTTGGTTGTGTCCATCTGCGGAGCCTTTTTGAGGTCAGGAATGTTGCATGTGTGCGCCGTTTTTCATGAGTGCCTGGGTTAGACCAATTGATCTGTCGGTGTCATTGTGAGGACTCAGGCTGTTAAGGATCTATTGAGCTTTTAGTTAGCATGATTCCTTTATGTAGTGATTGCCATTTTTAGAGTGTGGAGAACATATTAATAATGTGGAAAAATTATTAGTCACTGCAGCATATGCCCTCAGGAAAACCCGGAATGTACTCCTCATGTTTTGTGAGCAGCAATGAATGAGGTCATCCTTGTTTGTCAATTTCTAGTAGGCTGAATTTAGGCTAGTTTTCCTGATGTGATTAACATGGCATCTGGGAGAGAGATGGAGTCAATAGCCTTATTGTTCTACGCTTGTGAACAGTATGGATGATTCAACCGTGTTCAAGCTATTCAATAAGCACAGAAGGCCGTAACGTGAGGTTGCTATGGCGAGGACGTCGGCCAAATAAACAGATGATGGTCGGTCATGAATGCGGCTCACCGTAGCCCGTGCTACTTGGAACTTTTTGTTCCAAGTAGCGAGTCTTATACAACAACAGATCATGAATGGTTCTGCTTCCTAGAGGGCTTCGTACAGGTGTTTGATATTGTCGCCTAATTGAAACATTCCTTGCTTATTGTATTTGCTTTACCAATCTGGTATCCCGATAGCGGGATACGTTGATAGGATAGCCAGAAAGGTTATTAAGTGCTCTATATTGGTCTGACGTTCTCTCCTCCCCTTCCCCGGCCGAGATTCCACCCATTGCAATTTCCTAAATAAACAAAGGAATCAGATGAAAGGAAACATGCCTAAACGTCTCTCTCCTGCAGCGGGAATCGAATCCGAGTCCTTCCGGTTGTAAATTGAGTGCCTAGACCACTGTGCTACAGCACCAATTTGTCAGCAGATTGCCTTCCTTGTCGATAAGTGCTGAAGTGTTTGCTAGGGCGTTAACATGAGTGCTCTCGGGGACTTTTTTACGTTATTAATGGCTATGTTGGTCCATGTGGTAGTGGTAAGACACGCACAGGAGACCCCGCCTGTCTGGAGCTGCTGGGGAAGGTGACGTAGTGTCTGCCTAATAGTGGTTGTCAGGGTGGTGGGTTTAGGTTATTTACTAATTGAATGAAAAACTTCATGCCGGTCGGCCGAGCGGACAGCATACTGCACTTGTGATCCTGTGGTCCCGGATTCGATCCCGGACGCCGGCGAGAAACAATGGCTAGAGTTTCTTTCACCCTATGCCCCTGTTACCTAGCAGTAAAATAGGTACCTGAGTGTTAGTCAGCTGTCAAGGGCTGCTTCCTGGGGGTGGAGGCCTGGTCGAGGACCGGGCCGCGGGGACACTAAAAGCCCCTAAATCATTTCAAGATAACCTCAAGATGATAGGTTGTACATTTATATTGACTAAGTTTACAATAAATCTATTGTTATTTACATTAGAGAAATTCATAATAACAGCTTAAAACGTAATTATATATTGTATAATTGTAATATTTGTTATAAACTATAATCTAGTGCCCCTTTGAACATCGCATTTTGACGCATACTCGACCAAATGCCAAAAATTGTCGTATTAGAAAATGGTAGCGGCTCGCGAAATTGACAGTGTCCCGTTTTCTGTCTTGGGTCCTCTGATAGGTTAGAATAAGGGACTTTATTACGACAGTTTCCTAACGTTGTGAAACCTCAGAAGGACGGGCTGGATAAGTAGCCTTAATTTATCGGATTGGGTTTCGTTTACCTGTGATATCATATAACCTGTCCTGTTAGCTTAACCTATTGCCGTAACTTAACCTGTTGCCGTAACTTAACCTACCCTGTTACGTTAACTTGTCGTAACGTAAACACATAACGTACTTTCATTGTTCCCCTAATATTATATATTTTGAAAAGGGAAGAGAGGCTAAGCAAGGGGAAGGGGGGGTTAGCCGTCAATACCCTCGTTGTTACGGCGTCAATACCATCGTTATTACGGCGTCAATACCCTCGTTGTTACGGCGTCAATACCATCGTTGTTACAGCGTCAATACCATCGTTATTACGGCGTCAATACCCTCGTTGTTACGGCGTCAATACCCTCGTTGTTACGGCGTCAATACCCTCGTTGTTACGGCGTCAATACCCTCGTTGTTACGGCGTCAATACCCTCGTTGTTACGGCGTCAATACCATCGTTGTTACAGCGTCAATAACCTCATTGTTACGGTGTCAATACCCTCGTTGTTACGGCGTCAATACCATCGTTGTTACGGCGTCAATACCCTCGTTGTTACGGTGTCAATACCCTCGTTGTTACGGAATCAATAACCTTGATGTTACGTCGTTAATAACCTTGATGTTACGTCGTTAATAACCTCGATGTTACGGCATACATAACCTCTTTGTTACGACATCAATACCCTCGTTGTTACGATGTCAATAATCTAGATGTTAAGACGTCAATAACCTCGTTATGGTGCTAAATGAATGTTAAGCACATAGGTATATATGTATGTGTATATGCCTGCATGTATACTCGAGTACACGTTCACAAGAACACATATACATAGGGTGAATGTGATTCACATGTGAGAGCGTGAAGAACACCTGTATAAGAGTGCAGGTGTTCGCGTGAAACCAACAAGTGCGAGGTGGGGGGGGGGACACTTGTCGACAGCTTTCACTTATTGATGCCTACCAAATAACAGACAAATTTATATATACATACACACTGCAGGGTTAGTATGATTTGCTATTTTATGCAAAGGGGAAGGGGAAGGGGGGGGGGGGGTAGGCATGGTACTCGACCCCGCCTATGATAATCACCAGACCAGTTATCCTGCAAAGTTTGGTGAGGCTAGACCCTAGCCGCCAACATGGGAACTGTTAAACAGATGGACATACTCTTGTATAGTTATAACTGACTATATATAGTTAACTGTCGAAGTGTTGATTATATATATATATATATATATATATATATATATATATATATATATATATATATATATATATATATATATATATATATATCGTACCTAGTAGCCAGAACGCACTTCTCAGCCTACTATGCAAGGCCCAATTTGCCTAATAAGCCAAGTTTTCATGAATGAATGGTTTTTCGTCTACCTAACCTACCTAACCTAACCATAGGTTAGGTTAGGTAGGGTTGGTTAGGTTCGGTCATATATCTACGTTAATTTTACCTCCAATAAAAAAAAATTGACCTCATACATAATGAAATGGGTAGCTTTATCATGGCATAAGAAAAAAATTAGAAAAAATATATACGAAGTCAAATTCACTTCGAATATCTATATATATATATATATATATATATATATATATATATATATATATATATATATATTATGGTATATATATTATGGTAATATATATATATATATATATATATTATATATTAGGTTAGGTAGACGAAAAACCATTCATTCATGAAAACTTGGCTTATTAGGCAAATTGAGCCTTGCATAGTAGGCTGAGAAGTGCGTTCTGGCTACTAGGTACGACATATATATATATATATATATATATATATATATATATATATATATATATGTCGTACCTAGTAGCCAGAACGCACTTCTCAGCCTACTATGCAAGGCCTGATTTGCCTAATAAGCCAAGTTTTCCTGAATTAATATATTTTCTCAATTTTTTTTCTTATGAAATGATAAAGCTACCCATTTCATTATGTATGAGGTCAATTTTTTTTTATTGGAGTTAAAATTAACGTAGATATATGACCTAACCTAACCAACCCTACCTAACCTAACCTAACCTATCTCTATAGGTTAGGTTGGGTTAGGTAGCCGAAAAAGTTAGGTTAGGTTAGGTTAGGTAGGTTAGATAGTGGAAAAACAATTAATTCATGAAAACTTGGCTTATTAGGCAAATTGGGCCTTGCATAGTAGGCTGAGAAGTGCGTTCTGGCTACTAGGTACGACATATATATATATATATATATATATATATATATATATATATATATATATATATATATATATATATATATATATATATATATATATATATATATATATATATATATATATATATATTCGAAGTGAATTTGACTTCGTCTCAGGTCTATTAATTTAAATTGTGTTGCAGTTCTCGCTAAAATACTGTCATATAGATGGAAGTAAAGAAGTTACAGAGAATTAGTCAATATCACAGAGAATAATAATAATAATGTATTCGCAAGAAGGTACAATGGTTTAGTTATATTCCACAAGACTGGTATATTTGACTTGCTAAGTTGCATCCTTGCAAGTTTGTTATATTAAGGCCACACGTGGCACTGTAGCTTAATACATTACCAACCTGCACATATAGTTTCATCCCAGACAAAAATCAAAACTAAGGAACAAAGATGTATTGTTTTATTCTTGGTGCCCCATCCAGCCACTAGCCAGACCCAGCGGTGATTAACGTGACTGTGCAAAGACGTCTTCCATCGTGTCGACCCATCCAGCCACTAGTCAGACCTTGCAGTGGTTAGCCTGACCCCATAAGTCTAGATGGCGACCCATCTAAGCACTAGCTAGACCCAGCAATGGTGAGTGTAAGAGTGCGAGGTACTCAGGCCACCCTGCACAGGATGCACAGCAGACAACATGCACAGCACCTGGCGCCCCAGTACTTCGATCGGTGCACTAGAGGTTTAGAGTACAATGAGTGAGTGAGGGCGCAGAAATATCATCCCGTCTGGTTACTGGTCACATGACTCCCAACGTTTGTAATTCCCTGCCGTTCTTGTTGTTTTGATAACTGCTGAATGAAAAGTATTATTATAGACACCGAAATGTCTATAGGAAATATCACGTCTATTTTTGTTTTAATTAATTTAGTACATTAAAAATAATAAGAAAAAATAACTAAACACTATAAGCAATCAGAAAGTATATTTTAGCTCAATGCAACAATATAAAATAAGACGAACGCCAGCAAATAATTATTTACGCTTGCGTAGGCGTGCTTCAGTTGCCAACGATGCTGTGTATTCCTGCGAAATAGCGAATTGACATCATCAATCGTAGTATAGATTATATAGACCAGAGCGTATGAAACTTGATGGTTAGGGGGATAATAGAGCATAGTTTCATTTAGAGTTTTGGGGTATAAAGTGGGTGATGGCAGTTGAGGTGTGTGGCGTCGGGTCCCAGGGTTGGGATCCTGGCTGGCAGTCCCCTTCCATTCACGGTGTTGGCCGCACGCATCTTCAGCAACAGTTGGTCTTGACTTCACACACACACACTCACGTTCGCACAGTGTCTTCTCCTGCACCTGTGGTGGTGGCTGCAGGTGAGTGTTCCTGTAGGTGTGTTGTTAAGGGGGCATGACGAGGGCTTGTGCTGCTGCGGCTACAGGGCCTCCTGCTGTCTGGGACCCGGTGCCCTGGGACGGGAAGGTAGCAGGGGGTGTGTATACTTTTTTTTTCTTTAACCTTTCAAAACGCCGGTTTTAAATAAGTTGAACCAAGAAACGTACACAAATTAAGCTAAACGCAATTGAATCTCTTCAGTCATGGTTAATACAGACACTAGGTTGGCAGTACTACCTTGTCAATATTATTCGCTTGATATTTTTAGTCGTGAGAAGAGAGTGTGTGTGGGGTGAAGATGGACCCCATAGGCGATGGGGCCCCCTGAAGCAGATTTTAGCACCAGCACCTGCGTCAGGCTGCCACGCCCTCCTGGTGTAGGCGCAGGTGGTGTCTGCCTCGCCTCTCGCGCGCACACCTCAACTTACGCAATGCGTATGGCGCTAACCACAGTATATATATATTCACACACCATGATATATATTTGCATATACGTATGTCCGATGCATACACACCAGTTTTGCGTATTAAGTGCGGCAGACGACTCGAGACACGTCGACAAAAAGTACCCAAAAAATCAATCCTGCAGCAGGTGGTAGTTCTGGTACAGGAGCGCTGCTTCCTGTGGTTCGATATTTTACACTAGAGACCCTTTTGAGACGATCTATTAACTTGGAGCACAAGGGTAGGTGAACAGTTCCACTAAAAGAAATAAATATAATGCGATTAGAACTCAAAAACCCATTTGTCTATTCACTATGACCCCCATTTATTTTGTATTATAGTTTTTATCTTTGCAATACTCAATATACGTAATAAATGAAACTCCATATTTAAAATAAATGTATAAAATATCAAAACGGCATATGTATATACAGTATGTGGTATTTATAACTATAATAGCCAGCTTGTCGCCGTTGGTGGTGTTTCCCCAGGCATGGGGCAATTAATTCCGGGATAATTAGTTTGGGATGTATGGACGTAAGTTTACCCGAGTTTACCTGAGGGTCCTTATATCTCTAGTAGCCTCGACGAGGACAGGAAGCCGGCGGGTTAGCAGATGTCCTCTTATTTCTCTTGATTATGTTATCGAGCTGGGTTTTTACAAATTCAGCAGTTTTCGTATTTACGGCATCGCCGGGTAGGCGGTTCCATTGGTTTATAACCCTATGAGTGAAAAAAGCATCTGTTGTATACTCGAGCTAGATCATTCTCACCTAATCTAACCTAGTGGATTAGAAATGTTGGGAATTAGGCGCTATTAGTGTGCTAGACGTCATAGCGTATTTGCGTACCTGTCAGCTGGTGTGACAGTGGATGGCGCCGGCGCCGCCTCATACAAGTGTAGGGTAATTAAGAATGAATAATAAGCTTATGCCATTTATTTAATTGGTTGCCATCACCTGAAACGTGTTTTGTATATTTGTAAATGTGAAGTAAATTTGGCGTAATTCTACATTTTTACTTTATTTTATGAATTAATGTTCTGTCCATTAATGTACTCTGACTTGTAGTTTTGCAGGTAGAAAATTAGTTCACGTTTCGTTATTCTTCATATAGAAAAAATCTGTATATGAATTACAGAAGAGAACTGACATATTATCAGTAAAGTAGCTGATATATTTATATTTAATTATGCTCTTTATATCTTAATTGGGGTTATCTGTTAATGAGTTTTGTTTACTTTGTAATACTTCATTGTTTGTTTAGGAAATTAGATGAGGAAATCCATTTTGCCTAGAAACTGTTACATTTCAACTTTCTAAACCTAATAATTAAAAAAACTAACTTCAAAGTAGGCCTACTCATGGTTTTACTATTACAGTACTGTACATGTACATACTGTAGCTATGTTTGTATTTTTTTTATTTGATATTAAATACTGTATAGGCAATTGATGTATTTTATACAATTTTCCGTTATAAAAGGCACATACACTTGTGTGAATCCAAATTGTTACTACTGTATATACCTATTATTGCTCTCATTTTTATTCACAATTGACTGTTTTACCAAGTTTAATTTCACTGCAGATTCAGTATTTAACTTTCAGACTTGCTCAAAATGCTGTACATGTTAGTGGCTTTGCAGGAATGTACCACTTAATCACCAGTGTACTTTTACAACCATTGTACCTTCTTGTGTATAAAAAGGAAATAAAATCCAGGCCCAAAGTAAATCAACATCCAGGCCCACATATTGACTAGCATACATTAATTTGAGATTACAACTTATTCAATAAGGTGAAAATTTATTTGTATAGTATTTGAAGTGTACAGTATATGAATGTCTTAGCATAGCTTAATACAGTTTTCAACATCTTAACATATATTGCAAGTACTGTACATCAAAATTAGGCATAGACTAGCTTTGAAGCTTGATAATACTGTATACTATATAGTTAAGTCTATATGTGTATGTGTATATATATATATATATATATATATATATATATATATATATATATATATATATATATATATATATATATATATATATATATATATATATATATATATAATAGGTTGTGAGGGTACCACCTCTGGTGCCAATGTGGGGACCCATAGCCTCGGAGAAGAAAATAAAAAGTATTCAGAGAAGACCTTGTAGTTTCTCACTGAACACTAATATTATCTTCTACACCCCCATTCTTTTGTATGTACACTTTTATATTTGTTTTATTTGAACTTTGTTACAAAAAAAAGAGTTACATATAGTGTGCAAAGATGGTTATCATAAGTTGTTGAGTTCCTCCAGCTCCTCAGATGGCGGGCAGGATCCCTAAATGCAGTGTGCATTTCCCCTCTGTATCGCCACGCTGAGGTGCTGGAAAAGAAAGCTGGCAGCTCTAGGGTCCCTTGTTGTTTCAATGAGCTTAGAACCCAGTTCCTTCAAAAAACTGGTAGCACTTTTACCCCAGGCGCTGAGTGTCTCAGAAGCAATGGGGACAAAATTGTAGTGGTGATCCAGTTCTCTGTACTTACGGGATTTGGCAGCTTCCCTGTGGGTGGCAGCGCCACCTGGTTGTGCAACACTGAGGTCAATGTAGGTGTTAGCCAGGGTTGATACGCACGTGTAGTCCCACACCAACTGCTTGCCGTTCTTCCAGGAGTTCACTGTGATACCATCTGGGCAACCAATAAGAGCATCAGAGTTAAGAGACGTTAGGTAACGGGGCTCTCTTTCAGCTGGGCATCCAGCTGTGGTGAGGCTCCTCTTGATGATGTCGTTAACTTCACTGTGCCTCGAGTGTCATCCCCCTGTGCTTTGGCAGAGTAGGTCATGGTGGCCGTACCTGTCGGCCACCACCTCGCCGCAAATACACCTATATCTGGTGTGGATTGGGGCAGCAAGGCGGAGGGCCACAGCCCTCCGCCTATATATATATATATACTGTATATATATACTGTATATATATATGTATATATATATATATATATATATATATATATATATATATATGTATATGTATATGTATATATATATATATATGTATATGTATATGTATATATATATATATATATGTATATGTATATGTATATATATATATATATATATATGTATATGTATATATATATATATATATATATATATGTATATATATATGTATATATATATGTATATATATGTATATATATATATATATATATATATATATATATATATATATATATATATATATATATATATATATATATATATATATATATATATATATATATATATAATAAAAAAACATGAAAAATAGAATCTGCAGAAGGCATGTTAGGCCATGTGAGGCATCTCTTCCTTATATCCATCCGATTCCACTTTTATTCTATATGGTACTATTACTTAACTAACCTTCAGTATTTGCTTTTTATATATTTTTTGTATTTTCTACCTTGGATGTGGCCATACATTTGCAATGCATTTGCATAAAATGTTCAAGTGATTTTGCTTCTATAATGTTACTTGGTAACTTGTTCCACAGAGCTGAAATTTAATTTTTCAATGATAATAATAATTTATTGTATTATCAAGGAACAGGCAGCCAGTACTATATATACATACAGTACCTGGTAGGCTTATATCGAGGTCCCCCCAGGGTCACATTACTGTCCCTCAAGGATGGAACCCTTGAGGATGGTCAGTGTAGTCAGTAAGACTAACATTGAAAAAATGTATAGTATGTTAATTTATATTTGTACTGTATGGTACAGATAAATTGAGGACAGTTTAATTTAATCATAGTATTTTGCAGCCTCTGTGTTTTATTACAGTATTTATAAATTCCATTGCATAACTGTAAATTTTGTTAGAAATGGTGCTCAATTTTTAGTTTTCATTTGATTTTAAGTATGATATATTTCGGTTTGTGAAAGTGATGCATTCCTTGTGTAAATTAAAACTAAAGTTGAGGTTAAGTTATATGGTTAAAGTATGGCTTTTGAGTAAGTTTAAGGCTTCTGAGCAATTCGGTTGCTCCCTTAAGGAAGGTCCTACTGATTCCACTAACAGAATTATGCCGAGTTGGGGCAGGTTGACATTTCACCCAGGTGCAGTAGTAATCTTTCAAACTTTCCTTTTGGATCATGCCTTAAGGAAAATGGAGAATAGTCAATACAGACAGTAATTGTCTCCAAAAGGCTCATTCATCTACTATACACTCAACCCTTTTAAACAACCCTTCAGGGACTGCTCGTATCAGCGTGTCCTAACCTAAATCGGTCTTCCCAGAAGACATGGTTGGGGTAGGCTAGTTGCCAATTGGGCCAACTAGTAATTAGCAGAACACAACTCTTTGATGCCAAGTAGCGCCTGGATGGATTTTGTGTACAGTTGATGAAAGAGTTATGCCGAGGTCATTCAAGGCTGGATCAAGCATTATCCAGTGTCTTTACCTTGTCTCAGTATGATCCAAAAGGTGCATTTGAAGTCGCTATTGCTTCACGTTGACATGCTCTGGATGGGCATAGTCGTGTCACTGGGAACAGCAGGG